GGAGGGTGGGGGGTGAGGTGGGCGGGAGGAGAATTTTCTGGCACAACCCAGCCATTTCCTGCTCAGTGTTTTCCTGTAGGCTTGGCTCAAACTTTTGTTTGTCTTAACTGTGAATAATGGGGTTGATAAGGGAGAAGGAAAGGCCCTTCCCTTTGCACCAAACACAATCAGATGCAGCTCTGAACAATGCTCCATTGCCACTCTGACAAAGTTCCTGAGGTCATACGGATGGTCCTGATGGGACATGCTGAAAGTAGATCTTAGCCCATGGAGAGCATTGGGCCCACTTGGGCTAGTGTCAATCAGCAGCAATGCTCCTGCAGCCAGTGGATTTATACAGTATCAGAGGACAGATTTGGGTGAAATTGAGATAAGGCTACAAATTACTGTCAAAAGGCCCTAAAGTTCAGCCCGCAGCAGGGCTATAATTCCCAGACTCCACACGGGAGAGAGAGCAATCTGATACGCTATGATTTGGTCTGATAAATATCTGGGCTCCTACATAATTAGACACAAGTTTCCAAAAGCCACCTCTTAGCAGCCCAGTGGGATGTGTCGACATAGACTGATTTGCTGGGGCCTGCATGATGTACTGAAAACACCCTCCTCTTCCCTCCGCTTTCCCCAGGAGACTTCCAAGACATGCTCTTCATTTCTGAAACCTTGCTGCACCCAGGCAGGGGATGTCACCCCAGGGGCATTCAGTTAATAGCCAAGACCTCCTCCCAGCTGACTGCTCAGCGCCTGACCCACGCTGCTGTACGATGCTGGCTTTCAAACCCTGTCAACACAGGCGGGTTCTGGCAGTTGCTCTAACTACAGACTCCAAAAGGACAGAGATCAGGTCCCCGTGCGTAGGGCTCAGGAGGATGCTGGTGGAAATCTGTCACTCCCTGAGCCTCCCGGTAGCTCTCACGTTGCGCTCCGGGCTCCAACATGATCGGTATCAGCTTTTTCAACAGCTGCTATGGGTAAGACATGCTCTTCCATGGGGCTGCCAACACGGTGCTGGCAGTGGCAGCGGAACGTTGCTAACTATGATCCGGAAGGTGTGTCCAGGTAGTGCCATGCACAGGGACAGGGCAGGAGCTGGGGGAGCGTTAGTGGCAGGCACGGCTCCTCCATGAACAGTCTGAAAACACCTGTCTCCGGGCCAGTCCGAGTTGGAGTTCTCTCTGTACTTGACGTATCCTCCCCTTGAAGCCGAGGCTCCTCATTCTTCTGCCTGGGCTGTGAGGGTCAGCCCCTCACCATCCTGTGGGGTGACAGAGGGAAGCAGAAGCCCGTTACCATGAGCAATAATTAGAGATGGATCCAAAGAGGCTCCAGATCCAACCTCCTGCAGGGTTTGGCAGTGGCCAGATCTGGGAGTCTGCTCCAGACGTGTCTAGGACAATACTAGGGCAGCTCATCCTTTGCCTCCCCATGGAACCCAGCTCCCTCGCCCCGTGACAAGAGAAGGCTGAGCCTTGATCCTCTTGCCTGCTGCGGGAAGAAGCTTTACGCTGAGTCACGCAGGTTTGTGGACAGGCCCAGGCAAGGGGGCACCCTGCTGTGTTGCTGACTTCCTGTACAGGTCAGCACTTCTCTGCCTCCGGTTCTCCATCTGCCAACGGGGGATGATGGAAGGCGGGACACCAGCTTGGACCAGGCCAGAGTCTTTGGGGGTAGAGTCATAGGTTCTAGGGCTAGAATGCACGAGCGGGAGTAGCTAGGCCCCCGCCTAGCACAGGCTGGAGAGTCCTGGTTGCGCTTGTGGCGGCGCGTTTGCAGGGGTGATGCCGACGGGACGTGCCAGCACACGAATGGGTCGCAGCCAGAGCTGCTTGTGGCTCACAGGCCTGTCTCGGCTTGGTAAAGAGAGAGAAGAACCCATTTCCCCCTCACCACATCTTGGTAAAGATGTGAACCCCCCCCCAGGGGACTTCTGAGCACAAAGTCAGAGCTGGGGGCCATGCAGCCTCACCTGCTCACATCAGCTCCCAATCTGCCTCAGTGACTTCAGTGACTTTCTGCCATCTTTAACTGAAGGGGATTTCCTGGATTCCCCTCTTCTCCTACCACCAGTGTTCCCTGTAAGCTGTGCGCTTGGGTGGCCACCCAGGAGAGATTCAAATGCCGCCCAGCTGATTAGCAGACCAACCACAGCATGTGTTCCTACTGGTGGTGCACATCCACACATGCCTCAGTGCACACAACAAAATGTATTCTGCACGTGGATGGAAACAATTAGAAGGAACATTGCCTACCACATGTCATTTCCTAGCAGAGGGGCTGGGCTGGGCCGAGGGGCAGCATTCTATCAGGGAGGTCCTACGCACACCCCCAGCGGGTCTTGCAAAGTGAGCGCTAGCTACCGACTTGGTAGGACTGATGTTAACTCAGCTAGCTCCTCCCCCATGCTGCTGCCCCTCCTGCTACCCGTCTCAGTGTGCCATTGCCCCTCCTCCCAAATTATTCAGCCTGCCCCACCCCCTCCACCTCCAGTGCCTCTCTCCAGCTCCTGCTCCTCCCCCTCTCCTCCTCCTGGTCTCCTCTCCACCTCCCAGATGTAGAAAGGGGGATGCGTGAATCAGAAGCGCAGGGAAGTGTTAAGGGGCTGCCCATAAATTGCATAAGACATTGGAAGCAGAGGGGTCCTCAAGTCTGCAGGAGTGACAAGGGGGTGGGTGGGCCTCGACAAATCCCCACAGAATGTGTTATGCAGTTTATGGGCAGGTCCTACACCAGGTGGAATTCACTCCTCTAGCAGCGTGTTTCCTCTCTGGGCCACTTTCCTGAATCAGCAGAGGGCACAGGCTGCACGGGGCAGCCACATGATAACCCCAGGCCTGCAGGGCGTGGGCCAAGACTGGCTCCGGCATAAGGAGCAGGCCTCGCAGAGTGTCCCAGGCTGGGCTGCAGAGTTACAAGAAAGAAAACCCTCCAAACCAAGCAGGGGCCTTGACAATCGTGGGACAGACTCTGAACTTTAAAGCCACTTTTCTTTCTAACAGTGGGGGGAGGGGAGAGGGGAGCCTTTAAGCTCAGTGGGGCCAGAAGGGGGATTTTGCGTTAACTTCCCTGAGCTTTGGATGCGCCCCCAAGACTGGAGCAGAGGTTTCAAAGCGAATTAGCCGGTCAGGATACAATTCCCCCATCCGGAATTTAGCCAGGGACTGGGGGAACACCCATCCTTGCTGAAACTAGTATGCCAGGATCCCTCTCCCGTCCCATCCATCAGCCCCCCGACCACACAGTGCTCCTAGCACCCTGGTGGGGCACCCAATGAGCACAGACTCAGGAGGAGTTGCCCATGCCGTGTGCCGAACAACTCTCCCTTCAGCCGGGCTTTCTGACCACGTGCGGCCAGGCCCGGCCCCGGGGAGCTGAGGGGAGCCAAGGGCGCTGCAGAATAGCAGCTCAAATATTCCTTGGGAGGCTCCTTGCCGATAGAGAGCGAGCCAGTCGCAAGCCTGCCCTTGGGGACGTCTGTAGAAGGGGGAGCAGGGAGAACCCCCGTCTAGATCAACCAGAACCGCGCAGGCGAGGGGGCTGTGGATAGTCAGGGAGCCCAGGGCCCGCAGCACGTGGGGAAGTTATGGGCACCACGCATTACCTGCTGCGACTCAGACCCCAGGCCCAGGGTTTCATAGACCACATCAAAGTGCTTTTCAGGGAGGGGCGGAGGCTGCTCCTCTTCTGGCTCTCTGGAAGTGTCCGGGCTTGCAGGCTGCGAGTGCCCGGGGGGCTTGGATTTCTTACACACTCGGGCCTCCCTGCCGCTCCCTTTCACTCAAGGACTCGTCCACGGCGGTGGCCTCCTCAAAGGTGAGCTCCTGCCACCCCTCAGGGGACTCCCCGGGGCCCCTGCTGGAACGATCAGCCATAAGCTGCTCCGGTCGCGGCAGCGTGTCTCCTGGTTCATTCTCCTCACCCCCAGCAGCAGCACGGCCTGAGTTCACGTTAGGCTCCTCTGCAGGCGCTCCCTTTCACTCAAGGACTCGTCCACGGCGGTGGCCTCCTCAAAGGTGAGCTCCTGCCACCCCTCAGGGGACTCCCCGGGGCCCCTGCTGGAACGATCAGCCATAAGCTGCTCCGGTCGCGGCAGCGTGTCTCCTGGTTCATTCTCCTCACCCCCAGCAGCAGCACGGCCTGAGTTCACGTTAGGCTCCTCTGCAGGGCCAGCACGTAGATCCGACAAGCTCCCTTGGCAGCCACGGATTCCTTTATCCCGGATGCTCTCATAGATTGGACCGTACGTGTCCAGACCGGAGCTAGGCTGCTCTGCGATCGTTACCTGCCCATCCCCAGCCACTGGGAGCTCCCGGCGCTGCAGAGACTCTGGGGCCGTCGAGGGTTGGGGAGAAGCTGCTGGAGAACTGCTTCCCAAGCTACCTAGGCCCAACGCTCTGGATTCTCTCTCCTCTCGGCAGTTTGCCAGTGAGGAGCCCAGATCTTTTGGGAGGGTGGAAGCTCCTGGCTGGGGACGGGAGTTTCCAGGGAAGCCGTTCGCCTGCCTTTGGGCATGTGCTGCCGTGTCGCTGGGCACAGAGCCACCTGCCGAGAGAAAAGCATAAGGGAAGACTGAGCCAAAGGCAGGCGCCTCGTTTTAATTAAGCGAAAGTAGGACAAACGAGGCAACTGCCACAGGCAGCAAACGATCCAGATGAGCACTGTGCTGGCCAGGTAGCGCGCGCATTGCAGCATGTAACCGAGCGTGGTACCCGGAATGGGGTGTCTGCACCCTGATGCCCCCAAGCATCACCACAAACTCTCCAGCCCCTCAAGGATCAGTTTCATCTCCCCAAGCCAGTGTTCTCAAAGTTATGCTCTGGTGACCCCAGGGGAGCCGACAGCCTGCACAGGTGTGTAGTGGGGCGGCAACATGCTCCCCGAAGGGGCGGGGCCTTGGGTGGAAAAGGCGGGGCTGCAGGCAGCCAGCCCTCAAAGCTGCACGGAGTGTGTGGCACAGAGCTCCAGCGGTGATTTAAAGGGCCCGGATCCCGGCTGATGTTGATGCCACAGTGGTAATGACAGCGGTCGCGAGCCCTGGGCCCCATTGAATCACCAGGCCCGGGGGCAACTGCCCCCTTTGCCCCTGCCATCAGCAGGCCTGGCTGACCCCTTTCACATACCCGCCTCTGAGGCCAACCCCTCTTATAAAAACACTTTTTTGTGTTTAACCCTATTTTAAATGCTGGACGCAAAGCAGCGTTTCGGGATGGAGGCTGACAGCTCACCACCCTCGTGTAATAACCTCACACTCCCCTCGGGGTCATGACCCCATTTGGGAACCCCTGGCCTACACCCTTAGCAAGCCTGAGACACCCTGGATACGTACGTCCGAGGGCTAACCACCGGGGTGCCAAGCCAACTCATCCTCAGCACACGTGTGTCTAGGATGCCAGGGAGTGATGGCTGTAAAGGTTGGCAAGATGCTTAAGCACAGCTCTGCACTGACTCAGTGCAAGCCAGTTCCACCGTCACATGGCTGAGCACGTACACGCACGAAAACCAGAGCACTCAAGCGTCCCGGCCGACATCAACCTTCCTCGCTCAAAGGCACAACCCTGGGTGCTGCCCCTGATGTTTAGTGTTGGTTCAAATACTAGACTGACATGCCCCCCCCCCCCCACCAGTTGGGATTGCCGCATCTGGGTTTTAAAATCCCTTTTGCGCCGAACTGCCTTGACTGAAAAAGCCCTGGGTGAACACACACAAATAAATGCCCTGTGCCAGAGATTCGCCACCTCTTCCAGGCCAGGCACCTGCCCCGACCTCAGCCCATCTAACTGGACCCCAGGGGCAGCGGGTACGCTGAGCGCCACCCACCTGGCCCTGCCCACGCTCCGCCCCCAGAACGCCTACAGTACTGGGGCTCTACCTTGCCATGGTTCTGGGAGGGAGCAGCTTGGCTCCTGTGGGGGGCGGGGCCTGGGCAGAAGGGGCAGGGCTGGGGCGGGGCTGGGGGGGAGGCCTCACCAGCCTCACCTTCACCCACCACCCATGAGGGCCTTGAAGTTGGTGTGAGCAACAAAAGCAACA